ATAATACAATTGTAGTAGTTTTTAGAATGTTCTAAGCATAAAATTATTCTTATAAATAAATAGTATTTTTGTTAAAAAAAAAAAAAATGTATAAATTCACTTTCATCAGATGTTTTATTCCAATTCTAGTCATCGCGTTTTAAGACAACAAACATTGCCGAGGATGAAAAGTAGTTAAAATAATAGCCATGTTAATGGAAAAATCATCCTTTTGACACTAGTTTATTTTTTTATTTTTTTTTTTATTTTTTGGCAGGCAGGAAGGTCCTAAAATTTTCTTGCCATTGACCCCGCCCTCCTCCACTTATCAGTTCCTCAGCTGTATATAGTTAAATACCACCACAACCGCCGTCTTGCTTTTGTTGTGCATAACTGTGCTTTTCTTCTTCTTCTTCTCGAAGGTTGGCTGCACTGTGGTGATTGGTTTTTTCTCAGATTTCTAATAAAGGATTAAAACGGTCGTTGCCTTTCTTTGCTTCATTTCCTCCCTCAACCTCCCTGCTTGACAATGAATTTAATTCCAGAATTTATTCTTCATCATCATCTGTTCCACGAATGAGTGTGGTCATAGGGTCGCCAAGCACCTGATGAGTTCCCTCCACATATCTGGGTTTCATAGCGTGTCTTTGGCAAAACCCCATCCACCTTGGTCAGACTTGAAAACTTATTCACGAGCTCTCGACAATTGATTTCTATCGGAGTGGGAGAGTGGCTCTTTGCCCTGCCTGTTGACTTCACTCACTGAGCAGAGAGTTTCCTATCTCGTCACCACACTGATATACATAGCTATGGATCCGAGTTTACCGCCCCCCCTAACACACCATCATGACTGGTTGAACCTTGGTCTTTGACAGGTCTTGTTTAACAGTGTCTAACCACTCTTCTCACCAGAAAAGCCTGGTGGAGGAAACTGTTTAGTTGCCGATAATCTGACGTGAGAGTTTACATATTACGAGTAGTACCCGTAGAGTAACCGCACACAAGATTCATAGATATCTTCGGTGACATGTCTTGTTGGTTATTTTTCTCTCCAGTCACCGACTACTCTTCTTTAGACCCCAATTTATAAACTTTGTAGATTCTCGTTAAGGCTCCAAGTCGACGGGATTTGTACCAGTATGGCTGTATTATTTACCCATCTCGTGGCCAAAAGGTTAATGGTCTGGAAAATAGAATCATTGGTTGGAAATGTTTCTTCATTTTGCACTAATACACTTGAATAAGGTCAGAATTCACACCCCGTTTCCAGCTATGAGTAAATAGCAACCTGGCCTTAAAAAAAAAATTATGAATTTTCATTATCCCAAGGTATTTTCTTTCAAGAGACTGTGTATATGTGTGTTTTCTCCCCCTTAATGAATCAGAACAAGGTTTCCCAACCAGGGCAATATCATGGACGATTTCAACTGTTGGGTGGGCTATGAGAAACTGGACAGAAAATGATGTGCGATCGGAAATTTTGGTGGGTGATAAAGGATTTCAAGTCTTCAAAAAATATTTCAACATATGCTACCCGATAAAAAAGTATTCAAAGCTGATGACCTGTAAAACAAAATAAAACAGAAGGGTAATTAGGTTTAACTTGGTCACATTCTGAGATAGATAATCCTGCAAGCTGAATATTTGGGTATTTTCTACAGTTTTGAGGAGGGCCATTAACATTTAAATAGTTCTTCAGATGAAATAACTTTTTTTTTTTTTTTTTTCGGATATAAATCAAATAAGGAAACACAAAGACCAAATATTCGCTGAATTTTTATTACTAGTAGATTATATTCTTTTTAATTTTATAATGATGAACAAAATTTATTTACTGTTTTGTCAACACTTGCAATACTAATCCTAGTCATATGAAATAACTTTGGCCATAAATCTAAATTATATGCAGGAAGCAATAGGTAAATTGTCGCCATTTTATATTTTTAATTTAGCGCATGAGCGTTTGTTTTTGATTTGTCGACTGCACAGTTGGGCACCGTTTGTGAGAAAAAGAGTATCATAATTCACCCCCACCAGACATTAGGAAACAGTATGCTGTACTGCGTGGCATTCGCACCGAAATCTCCAAAACAATCATTTCAGAGTCTTTGGATGTCAATCTGAGGACAATGCAGGGGATTCGGAAAGAGTTGGATGAATCTAATGGTAATTATGAAGATACGGCAGTTCGGAAAACTCACTCTGATCATTCTGATAGAAAAGAACTCCAAAATTTGTTGGTGAGGGCCTCAGACTCAACTTGGAGGCCTACATCAAGTGCCTTGAGGGGTTAGTACTGCCCTGGGTTAAGTGGGTGACTTCTGGAAGGCAACAGGACTCTGCACCATGCGAAACAAGTAGAACCCAGTCATGGCTGCTAGACAATTTCTGTGAGCACATCACCCATTACATCTGGGCACTTAACTCCCCACACTGCAACACCCTTGATTATTATGTGTGGTACACAGTTAAGCGAGAAACCAACAAAACTCTTTGTAAAACCAACGATGAACTGAAGGCAAGGATTATGGCAGCATTCACCAACAAGGAGATGGCCCAGAAGAGATTCAGGAGATTCCGAAGTCGTCTTGAGGCTGTGGTTTAAGCCAATGGCAATTTTATTGAATAAATTTACTCTAGTATTTCAAGTTATTTTTGTGTAATTTTGGTAAATATATCTGTTAAAATGAGATGTGTGTTATTTTCATTTTTGTGTGTGTGTGTAATTTAGGCGACAATTTATACATTGCAGCCTGTATATATTTTTCAGCGGTCAAGTTTGTTTTCCTTTATTCTTTAATGCAGTAGTAGTAGTAGCCGCATAATCCAGTCTTATTTGTTATCTCCCTTTGGTATTTTAATACACCATAAAATCAGTTTATGAACCAGTAACAAACTTTTACCAAACTATTTTGATATGCTTTTTAATATTTACTCTAGAGGTAGGCGGTGGAAAATTTTTCCATGTAAAAGTGGGCTGTGATATGAAATGGTTGGGAACCTCTGCATTAGAGTAATCTGTTTCACTGGTCCAGACCAACACTCTCAACCTTCCACGACCCACTGTTAAGATGAGGTTCAGGTTGTGGTGAGTGGCCAAACCAAGCATACAGTGCTCTTATTACACATCACAGTAGATTTGACTTGTTTTCCTTCTCCTAGGCTGTCTGTCATCCAAAGCTAAAGATCCCAGTTCGCCCAGTGACATGTATACACGCATGTGCAGATTCCAACGTATACTGTCTAGATTTATAAATGCCCTCTCTAATAATGAGTACTCTTTCTTTATAAGCTATATATAAATAAAATCGTTTACTTAACTGCTGAATGTCTCTGAATTCTGCATCCACTTTTCAGGAGACTTGAATGAATTGGATTTATTTTCAACACTTATATTGAAAATAAATCCAATTCACTATCAAGTCTGTTGAAGAGTGGGTGTCATTCCATGAATTTCAGAATAGACATTCAACAGATATGTGAACCAATTTATTTTATTCTTAATATTTTATCTCTTGATATAGAGCATTATAATTATAAAGTCTGCTTGCTTTAACCAGAATTGCCCTTGTCAACTGATCCTGGTAAAATATAATCTAAACATTAGATTTAACTTTACTTCAGTTTTTTTGTGTGTGAGAGAGCAAGACATAGATGCCACCACTGACTCGCTAAAACATTAGCATACCATGATGAAAAAATGCCCCAAACTTAATAAAAACAATTTTATCATTGAATTAATAATAAATTTGTTATTAAGAGGAAAGACCAAAGGATTTTTTTATTATTAAATTATATTTTGTTGATTATTCTTAGAACGTTTTTAATTTTGGTTAAAAATAATTTTTTTTTTGCGCCAGCCCGAAAGATTAGTATAAGAAATTTTAGTCTTTTTTTGTGGTAAAAATCACATTAATTTGGAAATTCTTTCAAATATCAAATAATTGTCATGTTTTAATTAAATATTTGAGGACTTATTATTTTTGAATCGCCCTTTTAATTTTTTTTAACATATGTTGCCCCATTTATTTAATTTTATGAAATTTCGAAAAATTAAATTTCGTACAGCTCTATATTTTTGCGAAAGGGGACGCAACAGGCTAGGCTGGAAATTGAACCCTGCTCACCAACTCCGCTTTCCACACTGATATACGTTATGCTATCCTTGATAAATAAGGGAGATAATTTTTTTCAATAAACCAGTCACGCAGATTACAGATCGTCGGAACATAAAGAAAACTACGAGAATAGAATTTAATGTGTTTAAATGATAGACTTTCTGTCTCCATCTCCATGGCATCGCTGAGTGGAGAGATTTCTAGACTCCAGTCCATGGCTAGGGCCTAACCTTCAGGGCAAGGAACCGTCATGCCACTCACATTATAACAAACCAAATGTTCCGCGTATTCCATTGGTGAGAAGTAATTTCCACTTGAGCAGCTTCTTCCAGCGAATCACTACACTGTGGAACCGACTCCCAAGAGGATGTTTCTACAATCACTACAGACTTAACCTGTTCAAGTCTGGAGTTAACCGTTATCTTCCACAACTATCCGCATAAACTGTGCCCCTTACTCTGTAACACTCTACCTCGAGTGGCCTCGAGCCTTGTACAAGTTCACTGTAAAAAAAACAAAAACAAAAAAAATAAATCTTTACGATCCTCAGCCATTGTTTTGGAAGCTATTAATTTGGATATTGTGACCTCTAAAATAGGAGAGTGTGTTGCCCTGTGCAAAATGACAAGACGTCTCTGACTTGTCTTTCACAGGCCTCATAATACAATTAATTAACTTAATTAAAAAATACAGCACCTATGTTAGAGACGTGCGAAAGTAATTACAAATTCTTGAAGACAAAGGAGATTTAATTTCAAAGGGTTTATTACAATTTGAAAAGGGAACAAGTCGGATTCTTTGGGTAATTGTCTTCAGGTCTTATAACTACCATTCTCTTTCTAGTAGAGAATTTCTTTCGACATTCTTCATTTTTATTGTTTATGAGATTTGAAAGCTTCTCTGTCAAAGGTATGAAATAATAATACTTTGCTGACTTGGGGTTTTGGTTCCACCCTCTTTGTTGGTTGACGACCCTTGCGCTGTGGGAGTTGGTGTTAGTGGAGGTTGATTGGTCCATGATTGCGGTAACGTGATGTAGGGTACAGCCAAATTAGCTTCTGGTGGTATATCATCCGACACCGGTGACTTATCAACTAAAGTGTACACAATTTCACTATCTCCCCTTAGAGTCATCGCTTTCAAAAAATCGGGGCCGCTTTGCTTTCTCTCGCGGGAATTATCAGTAGGAACAAAGTCAGAAAGCTCGGGAATAGGCGGTGGGGGCGTTGGTGGTGGTGGAGGTAGCGGCGGAGGTAGCAAAGGGGGCAGTGGGGGAGCTACGGGTATTGAGGGGCGCTTTTCAACAGATGACGCCGCTCGACTAAGATTGGGTATCGCCCTGACCAGCACCTCTATGCTGTGTGAAGGCACCCGTTTGGGGGCGATCTCTTCAAGGGACGCATACATCGGGTCGGATTGAACGGAATTCAAGCTGCCTGTTTTGCCGCTGTTAATGCGAGCCATTTGCATTTTGTAGAAGAGAATGGCGTCTCGATCGATGCCGACGGGAATATCATAAAGTCGGTCCTCATCCGGGGATTCAGTTGACGTTTCACTTGGCACCACTCCCGCTTGAGCGTTAGCCAGGGTCACTGCGTCTTGTTGGTTGTTGGCTTCCGCTGACGCGAGCAAGACTCGCTGTTCCAGTGTCGACCAATTGCTGTCCGTCTCAAGAGCGTTCGCCTCGCTATCGAAGCTGTTTCCCTGTTGGTTGTTGGCGTCGCCTATCATCGACTGCAATTCTTTGTCGAGTTCTTTGTTTTTTACTTCTTCAGCCAACCTTTGTTGCAGCAACTCGTCCCACTCATGGATTTCACCTTTTTTTTGGTATCTGCTTTTTGTGGTCGGCAGTGGTCTCAGCTTAAAGGCGGGAGGAAGTTCAACTGAACCACATTCCCTGTAGATATCGTCATCCACTTCTTGTAGTCGAAGATCTTGTCTGCTATTAGTTGGCGTTTCTTCGTCTTCGTTTGTTTCCACAATTGAACGCAAACTGCTCGGCGTTAATGGACTACCGTCGATGCCTTTGCCGCGGAACACTTTATCGTGTAAGATTTTCGACGCCATTGCTCCAAGGGCGTCGTTTCCAAATTGGGGAAATCTAAGCAAAGTAGATGGCAAAGCATGGATATGGGGTGCTTGTGTTGGCGCCAGGTTGATTACCATGATGCTGAGATTTTCCGAAGCGCCGTAACCCTGTGCAAGATCTTGGAGGGCCTTTGCACTCATGACAGGATCGTGGATCGTGATTATGTGTTTGACTGCCTCTTCAGCATTCACATACTTCCAAAGTTCGTGGTTAGCAATGATGATAAATTGGTCGTCTGGTTGGAGCATGACGCTCTTGACGTGCGGCTTTGGTATCAACTGCGGGAAGAGGTAACCACTTCCGAGCAGCCGGGTGCATTCTGTGATACCATTAACACGACCATCCTGGAAAAGAAACATGGATATTTGCCGAGAGAGTCTCACAACAATTAAACAAAATTATAGAACGAAGATTATTATTATTATTATTAGTGTACAAGTGAAAGTGTTAATATTGACTTTTCAAAGTCAGTCATAGAAACATTACAATATTTAATAAAAGTGGAGTCGAGAAAAATAAAACTCTATAAAAAATCTAACAAATTAGCTGTTTAGAATAATTCATATCTACGTTTTTGTGCTTTTTATAGAGTGAATCCTTCTATCATTGTTTGACACGTTTTTTTTAATTTTTTTTTTTTGGCTATTATCTTTGCTGTTAATATTATTTTAATAGACTTTTCAGCCTTCTTCATAAAGATTCTGTAAAAAAACAAACAATCCAGAAATTTTATTACTATTATTACTAGTGTAACTGTTCCGTAAAAAATGACGACAATTGATAAAAAGTTTTAAAAGAGATGCAATGAAACAAAAGTCTTGAAACAATGTATTAAGATTCAATAAAGCAGAGGTAATTAAAATAGAGGCTAATGAACCCTTTAATTAATCCACTCCATTTATATTTTTAGACGTTCAACTGGTATCTATGATTCAGTGATTACTCCTTAAATTGCCTTTTGCTCAATATCTTTTCATATTAAATTTTTGTTGTGTTTAATATAACAGTGAAATGGAAATATATCTCGGAACAAAAAGGTTAGTAACAGAACGACGAAGACAGGGACGACAAAACCTGTTTCAAGACCAAGTTGTAGCAAGATGATCACTAAATAGACAAAGCTATCTGAGTGCCTCGCATGAAAGGCTTGAACAAATAAGACTGCAATCTAAGAAACCTAAAATAAGGAGAGTGATTAAGTAAACGGTTTCTTTTGCTCGGGGAGTAATTTTATCTAAATGCAGATAAATATTTTATTTTTTATAGATTATTAAGGGAAGTAATCATTCATAAATTTACTAACTTAAGTCGATTTACCTCCCTTGCTACTACGGATGGGACAGGAAATATGTAAATAAATATACATTATTATTATTATTATTAAAATATAAAATGCTCTTCTTTTTGTTTAAATTTTATTTTTGTGCTGTTTACTCGACCCCCGACAATGTTATTTAACTGATCTACTCAATAAGTTAGGGCGTGACACAAAGTCTATTTCATGTCATTTGCAATGTATTTTGATAGTTTGTGTAGTTTTGACTACAAAGGACAAAAATTGCCCCAGTCTCTGCAACCACAGTCACACTGGCGTCGATATTACACCAGACTTGATCTCTGTTAATGCAATTTGGAATGTGTTGTCGCGAGGTTGGAATCTTCGGCATGTGGCGCTTTTTCCTATTTCAAATGAGAACAGATAAGACATTTTCATTCTGGCCAAAAGGCCGAGAAGCAATTGGCAATTTACTAAGCGTAGCTTAGATATGGCACAAGAACCGAACTTACTACTCAATCGTACATGATCTCGAGCAGTGTCTTTTAACCTTTCTTTTACTTCAAGGCTTACTTGTAGAATAACTAAAACCCTGGGATGCGTTTTACATTTTAATAAGGAAAAATTAGTCATTAAATTTGAAAATAGTTAATTTTAGTTTAGAATCCCCAAAGAAGATTAGCGGTACAGTTTTCATTTAAAGAGATTTAGGAAGACTCTGCTATTTTCTTAAGACACATGGCACAGTGGATAAAGGCGTTAGTTAGATTCAGTGACAGGACCCAAAGAGTGAGAGTTCAATACCCGGTTAAGGCAGTGGAGAACTTTCAGAGGAAATTAACAGGAGATATGTGGAATAATGTATTATTCCATCTACGACATTTTACGCGCGCGCGAGTTTGCCTCCTTTCTCCGACACTCGTGTGTGCGCGCGCGCGTTTTGACACCCCCTTTCTCCCTCGTTCGGTCTAATACAGTAGTAACTGCTTTTGGTCACCAACCAAGCGTCTTGCTACTACTGTTTATGCAAATTAGATTTTTGAAATCTTGCCGCGAAAAATTTGTGACGTCAACGACAAACTGTTGTTTCAAAAAAGTTAGTTGGTGTTCCAGACTCTGAGCTGAGCAGACTCATTTTTATCCACGTCAATATTTCAGTTTGACTGACGAAGGATATCTTACTATGCAATACCAAATAATTAATTCTTCGTCCCTTCTGGCTCGTCATTCATAATCATTTTTCCGAGACGATGCAATTACCAAATAATTAATTCTTCGTTCCTTTTGGCTGGTCATTCAAGACCCCTTTTCCGAGACGATGCAAATACCAGATAATTAATTCCTCGTCCCCTTTCGGCTCGTCATTCAAAGTCCTCCTCCGAGATGATGCAAAACATCCAAAATATTAATTCCTCGGCCCTTTGAGACTCGTCATTCAAAGTCCTACTCCGAGACGATGCAGAACATACAAAACAATCCGTCGTCCACTTTGGGTCTCGTCAGAAATCTGTTTTGAACCAGTACAAAAAAAAAGGAAAAAAAAATATGTACATAACAATAACATTCACTCACATTACCTAAAAACTCGCAGTGAGTATTTTTCCTTGTATGAATATTATCATGTACATTGACTTATCTGGCATCTCCTTCTTCTTCAAGAAACTTCCCGCCTTTAGCCATCTTGTTTTTTATTTTGGCGCGGAACTATTTCATTGGTCCCTACCACGGGACAAATTACTTGTTTTTCCTGCATTTAATAAAAATTACTCTTGTTGAAACCCAGTCTTTTTCAGTCATTCCGAGGAGGCTATCTTGTTAATATATTTTAATTATGCACGTGTGGATTTACCACATTTCTTCGTTGTTCATTCACGCATTTTTACTTTGCTTGTAGGCTCGGTAGTTTAGTGTGGTGTCTGGCACAAGGCCACTCAGTATAATCCAGCACTACACACTACCGGGTCCGCAACAGATAACTGATAACTGACATCTATTAAACATGGCACGTGGAACTAAAACAGTCTACCCCAGTGAGCGAAATAAAGGGTTCAGTTCGACATTCCAACCACCTGAAGAAGGCGGAAGCGTACAACGAACGAAACCTTGTAATAAATATGGCGACAAAGATGAAGACAATAGTCCGAATAATGTAAATAATGTTCTTAAGAAAAGCTGATAATGACGGATTTAAGTCCCTTGAGGAAGAGAAAGGATTATCCCCCGCCTTAAAGATTAAGCAATTTAGCATCTAGTTTTAAATATCAAATGGCAAAGACTTGACTTATATATGGAAGTCATGTGCTTGGTGTGTGTAACTTTTTTTTTTAATAAGACATTTTATATATAAAAATAATCCGTAGATTCTCTTTATGTACCTTGTTCCCCCAGGACGTAGGCGATCATAGATCTCCACAGCTTCCTATCCCTTGTAGCTCTTAATAAATTTTATATTTCTGTTATTTCTCCTAAACCATGTTCTGCCATAGATTTGCCGAAGGTCTTTAAGTATGTTATGCATTGTTTTCTTCTGTCCCTCTTGCCTTCAATCTGTCCTGTGAGTATCAGATTCTCCAAGCCTTCCTTCCTCATTATGCACCCAAGAAACCTCAACTGTTTCTTCCTGATGTTAAGTATAAGTTTGCTTTTTGTTTCCATTTTCTCTAAAACTTCGTCGTTGCTCACATATTCGGTTCATGGTATCCTCATCATACTTCTGTAGAACCACATTTCTGTTACTTCAAATTTCTTCTTCATCGTTGAAGAGATTGTCCAGCACTCACTGCCATACTCTTCTTTTAATCTGGGGCGCCTCTGGCTACGTTTCAACGCGCATTAATACGGTTCAGCACCGGTTGAGAAACGCTGATCTCGCGTGACAAGCTCGTTAACCATTACACTTCATGGAAGTGCCCAATTCTTATTTTATTAGTCCGTTCAGAAAGTAATTACGTTTCACCAGAGACTGTCACAACAAAGCCAGTAACGTTGAAACCCTCGGTCACGATGACTTGTGACTTCGTGTTAGCACAACCACAATCAAAGAGTTCCGTTTACGCAATTTCATTCACAAAGCTAGGGTCAACCCGTGGTACTGTTTTCATGAACTTTCTAAAGACGCCGCTCACCTCCAAAGGCCGACAACGTTAAGAAATTACCTTCCCGAGATTCATGGTCGGAAAATGAACATTCTAACCCCTCGGCCACATGCCCCTAAAGCGAATATAGGTTCAATTACTAACGATTACCGTCAAACAGACACAGGTGGAACTGGCAAAGGCTTAATCTACCGACCAGGCTGGCACTTAATCCCGGACATGATGTAGTCGACTGTTACTGACAAGTTACCTGATCAACCTGCTTATATCTGCTGCACCAAACCAACCAGATGTAAATGTCTGCCGTGACAAGGTGATGACCACACCCCAGCCACCCTATTATACCTCCACAACAGTGTTGTTCTATTTTATTTCCTGTAGAGGCGCAGGCACCTTGGAAATTCAAATATTTATATTTTAACGTCATTTTGATTTTAATATTTCTCTCCAGAATCTATCTTACATATCTATAAGTCTACCATTCGTTCATGCTTAGAATATTGCTGCCACAAATGTCCCGATGCCCCTGCTATTTACCTTGAGCACATTGATAAAATCGAATCAGCAATTTTATTTGTCCTGATCTGGCAGTTCGGTTTCAGTCACTTTCCTATCGCCATATTGCTGCATCTCTTTGCCATTTCTATAAATAATTTCGTGGTAATTGTTCGAATGAGTTCTTCGCTATGGTTGAACTTGTGTAAACCATCCCGAAATTAGGCTAGTTTAGGTTTGGTTTTTGAATCTTTCATATCTTTTTTCAGTTAATTTAGCTAGGGTATGTATGGCCCCCTTTTATTTATGTCCCTATTTTTCTTTAAGTTTAATTTCTCCTCCCTCGTTAGGTGGTCAGTGATGTCAGTTCGCTGGTAGATGCGGGGCGCCTTTCGTTTCGCGTGTGTGTTTTTGTATTTGTTGTTCTGTCTGAATGAGTGCATGTCAGTGTGAGTGCTTGGGATGAATGAATGTTTTA